AATGTGAATTACTTAATTTCTTTAAAACTTCAAGGACAGCTTTTAAAATTTTGAAAATAGACTGAACAAGATTTGTATTTTCCCTAACAATTCAAGAACTGATATTCACCATAAGTTCACCAATTTATTTCTCCACCATATCACACTTCACCTGTCAAAACAAAACAAGTTTTCATTTAAAGACTGTACAATCCAATGCATCCATGTTGACATAACTACATTTTGAGGTGATTTTTACACTTAATCCAAGAGTAAACCATTCATCAACAGGATTCAAGTGCATCTCAGGCTTTCTGTTACACTTCAAAGCAGGATAACAAGTACTCATCTTCATGAAACTCCAAAACTGCAGCAAGTGGCTAATTGCCCATTACTAAAATAAACCTATGGAAAAGAGCTCAGCTTGCCATCATTCTACCCTGCAGAAATGCACTAGGAAATTTTTTGTTGAGCCAATTTCAGAGTTTATAGTCCTAAAGCATTCATTCCTACATCTTAAGGTAAAGCCATCATTGTATCCAGCTACTCCATAAATGTAAAAGGTCTAACATTTGATAAAGAGCCACTTCCACAGCAGAAAAATATCTCAAACAGCTGGGCTATAAGGGGGATTAATTTCCTGACCTAACTTTGCCTCCAGTTCCACTCATAATCCACCCAACCACCTCACTACATTTTTTATTTTGATGGCACAACACACACTCAAGTTACACAGGGAAATCAAGGTTGAAAGGATAATGTTAATGCTCATTTTTCAGTGTGAATGCCGCTGTACTAATGACAGCAGTAGAATAAATGTTAATGTAAGCAGCACTCAGTTATTTTTGCCGCTATACCATGAAAATATTTTATGCTTAATGTCATTCTAAAATGCTCACACTGCAATGGAAAATGATTTATTTGGAAAAATGCACATGAAGATGCAGTTATAGGTAGAGGCGGGTAGGAGACAGCTGAGGTTTCAAAAAATCTGAGCCTAACGAAAATTGAGACTCATTTTGTTTATTTTAGAGTTTGGGGAGAGAGAGAACAAGAGGAAGCAAGTACTTTCACCAAAAGCAAACCTTTCACCCAACACTGCAGAATAGATTCACTTTCTTTCTTTCATTTTCTGGATAAGAGGATATTGTCACAAATGAGTGCAGCTTTAAAGCAAAGTGATGCCATGAACCCAAATTTGAGGTTACTGATTAAATTCCCCATTTCCAAGCAGCTTTAGAGCATTTCTGAGCACCTAACATCTTGGAAGCTAAACTCTGCCAGTTTCTGAAGCAGGTATTTTTCAGGAGATGAGAGAATAATTAAGCCCACTGTTCTGTCTACCTATACTTATTCTTCCAAAGACAGACACACGCATTTCTGGTGATCAAGTGGGTCAATCCAAAATTACCACCAAAGAGAGAACAAATAATAAGATTGGTGAGGGACTACTTTTACAAGTGTTTTGTTTGCTCAGAGGTGAGAACTTCTTGCATTTCATCCTTTCTACCTGCCTCCTGTCCTGAACATCTAAATCCCTGTTTTAATTCCTTAAAGATTTATCCTTTTCTCTTTTCAAGAGACAGGTGGCAATTAGGAAAAAGAACAGTTGCAGGTGCTCTGAAGCAAGTCAGTTCGCAACCCGTTGACATTTTCCACCTTCAGTTCTGTCCAAGTTCTCCTTCATAATACACTCAAATGTGGTAGAAATGCTTTTTGAAAAGTATTTGTTGGGTTTTTTTTTTTGTTTTTTTTTTGTTTTTTTTTTAAATGAAGATAAAGGGGGAAGGGGAAGACTACTAGAAAATTCTAGAAAAACTAAAGAAACAAAAGCTCCTCAAGAACCAAAATTTACCTGAAGTTCACTTTAAGTTAGTGGTAGAGTGCTGCAGAAAAACTATTAACCAAGGGGTTAAAATCTGCATGCAAACATCCAACTTAACTGAAAACCTGAAGGAAAGTGCATATTTTCATATACCTCTCTCGGGAAGCATAAAATGGACTCCCATTCAAACAGATACTTATGTTAAAGTGCTACCTCTGAACTAATATCATGATGGCATGATTTCAAGACAGGCAGGCTGTATTTACAACTGTTATATTTCCATATTCAGAATGACAATGGAACATGGATTGCCCCAAAATACAAGAATAAAAATAGTAGTTATCTATCAAGTACTCCATCCAAGTTATCCATCATGTCTGTAATAAATTGTAGCTAGGTGAAAAGATACACAGTTTTATTACCCAAAGATTACTGTTCTACTTATATTTTGTAAACTTTCACTTTACTAACATTTACAGTCTTACAAACACATAAATAACTGTAGGATTTGCAGAATACTAAAGCATGTTTTGATTTAATTTTTGGCTGATTTTTACAAGTGAAGAAAACATTTTTATCAACATCTTCTATGCTGTACTTCAAATGTACTTCATTTTTAACAGCTCTAAACCCAGAGCTTACTTTCCTTGAATCATCTACTCCATGCAGCTCCTTTACCTCAAGCAATGAGAAGAAAACTGCATGAAGCTCCCATTGGGAGGGCAGAGAAACACAGAAAGGGGATCACAATGACTGCCCAGCACTTGGGAGTGGCCCTGCAAAGGGCCCCAGAGGGGGAACCCTGGGTGTATCCTTTTGGTGGGCCTCAGTATTTAGTAGTACTGCAGTGGAGGGGTCTTCCATGAGAAGAACATTGGATGTCCAGTAAAAGAGGTGGTGGCCAGAGAGACTGAAGTCCTGCTGCTCTTCAGGGGGCTTCAAGTTGCATCCTCAGCCTCATACAGTCTCATTACAGGCATCAGGGAAACAACAGGGGCTCACATTGAGACTTGTAAGTCAAACGTCAAAATCACAGTTGTAAAAAGCTCCTCCATAGCTGCCTAACTTAAGAAAAGCCTAAAATTAGTGGGTACTTCCCTTGTTAGATTGCTCAGGTCCTTCAATAAGTAGACTTTAATTTAGCAATCCAGTGGATACTGACAAAATGACAGTCACTTTTTTTTCCAAACGATTGTCAAAATGTCCAGCTCTGGCACAAGTTCAAAGTGTGTTTTTAGTGATCTCTTTTACTTTCCTGTCACTTTAATTCTAGCTGCTCTAGAAATCCTGACAGCTCTTACACCACATCCCTAAACAAAGAAATAACACCCCCAACTTTTAACAGATAAATAGTGTTGCAAGAAAATACACAGTATAGATTAAAAAATACACAGATGGCCAAAACTAGCATATTGACTTCATACTTGTACACCTCATGCACAAAACAGTTCGTTCCAATCCTGTGGGCACCTACTACATGTTCATCTCCCAATCTGGCTTTATTTAGTTCAGCAGCAGTAAATGAGACATACTGAGTCCCCTCATAACTTATTTTCAATTCGCTCATTGTGGTCTCAAGGATCCCACCTGAACTCCCTTTTGTAAGTTCTTGTCCTATAGTATCAAAACTGAAGTCAGTAAATCAAAGACTAGATCACTGACATTTACTTCCAATCATATGGAAATACTTATTTCATGGCCCTAGAAAGATAATACTTTTCTGTCTCTTACGAGGCTCAAGAACTAAATTCCCTGTGGGACTTCTTTCTGCAACTGACATACATACAGATGAACTTTGACAACAGTTAACAGCAAATGAGCTACAGCTCACTGTATCAATACAGGGTAATTTTACACTGACAAAACTGTCGACCAGTTAAGTAGCATATGTTCCGAACTAGACTGATATAAAATTAATGCTCCAGGACTGTGCAGAAGCTTGATGTTCCCTGTGTCCCATTTTGTCATTTAATTTTAGATAATAATTACATAATACATCATTCCTTAATGTAGCCAAATATGAAACAAAGAATATTGATGACCTGTATTTATTTTGCAGATGTTAATACAGCACAGAAATCTTTCATCCTTGAGCAGTATCACATTTTTTCCCATGCAACCTGAAACTTAGCTGTTTGTGCTGGTGGTTTTGTTTAGCTCATAAAAGATGCAGTAATGGATGGGCCTGAATTCATTCTATCCAAGTTTTGAGCCAGCCACAAGACATGAGACAGTAAGGCATAGAAAGTCCCTGATTCAGATAATTTAGATGTAAATAGGGAGACAGCCTCTCCTCCCAAAGGGTGCTTATACAAAATGTTAGGTGCCTGTACACCTACAAATTCCATGCAAAAGATGTATATGCTGAATGCCTTCCAAAATGTGGTGACCCTACCTGCTTTCTCAGCAATGTCTAAGTTATCTGTGAGAGGAGGTGGAAAAATCTCTCCTTTATTTAAAAATACTGAAGATATACATGTTTCAATCATGTTCCATCAAAAATGGAACTTAAAAATTATGTTAGTGCAGCCTTAATAAGAAAATAAAACATATTTTCATGTGTTTGTTTGCTAATTGCTGTATCATATTTAATCTCAGCACTTAAGAGTATTCTATCCTTAAAACAGCAGTACTCAAGCGTTAGTAGCTCATACATTAAGGAAAGGCTTAGCAAGTATAAGAATATTTAGTATTTTATTTAAAGACATCTATTAAGAAGAAAAAAAGTATTTCATTTTCTACTGAACAAATGAAAAGCTCCCATGGGAGAAGTGGTTGCAATTCATCAGGACACGTGCACGGCCCTTCAATATTTCTGTCATACGCATACAGTGCTGTGCTATTTCTCTGCCTCTGATACTGCAAGACAACTGTCAACACAATCTTTTCAAGGAAACTTCTACTAAGCAGTGCACCTACACAGCAGCCACTTCAGAGGTTGGCATGTCCCTAAAAATGCACAGGCAGTGTTCTTAGTGTTTACCTGAATAAGTAACATAGCCCTAGGCTAGCTATTCTGTAGCAGGTGTGAAATTGTATCTCTTTAGTTTCTGGTCTGGAATGACATTATCAGGTAAATTAATTTAAAAGCGGAAAACTAACCGAACAAACAAAATCGCCAAAAAAACCCAAACGAAAACCAGAACAAACCACTGAAAACCACCAACAGTCAAAACCAATTGCTTCTCCTGCTTACCAGCTCCTCACGAAGTTGGGCTATGAGTTCATCTCTCTCCTTCAGCTGCAGCTTCAGCACTGAGCATTCATCTTTTATTCCATCCTACAAAAAAAACATCAAAAGAGATGTTATAATAGGCTTAGCAGTTTTACTTTGCTCTTGACAAGAAAAGACTGTTTCACATAGAGTGAGATAATTACACTCAAGTAATGAAATTCAATTCTCCTTTGTCATGTGTTGTATTTTCAATAACATATTCTAAAGTTGCTGCATAAACAAATTAATGCATCCAAAGACATTACACAGAATTGTGATTAGCTCCCTGCACAGAAGTCCATTTCATTGTTTTTTGCATCTTTTAAGCCTTTTTTGTTGAAGATTCTATCAGATCATTCTTTTTCAGTTAAGGAATGATTATGAAGTGTTAAAATTTCTCTCATACAAAACAGCATTAGAGAAATATCAATTTAGAAGCGCTATTGTGGAGCTCTTGATCTTGGAAAGGAAGAAAAAGAAAGTATAACAGACATCCACAGGAAAAGTAAAACACCGTTTCCACGCATACATCTTTTTGTCTCATGTCAGCCAAAATAGCAGCAATTCTGATACTGACTGGGTGAAGAAAAGAAAATAGGTACTGCTTAGTGACCACTGACTAAAACTCAATCTGACTTGTATGAAAAATTAACCTAATAGCTAAGACTGTAGCCAAACCTAGGCTCATGAGGCAGTCTGCAAGCTGTCCCCAGGCAATTTCATGACTCCATGTCAGTTTAAACACCTTTTTTGGATTTTGTGTTGTTCTGGTAGGTATCTAGGAGGAGAAACTCAGATTAAATGATTGAACTGCTGAAGAATAAAACCCTAGCAAACGAACCAGACAACTAGCTGACTGTACAACTGTAAAGTAAGAATTGTATCTTTACATCCTTCTAGCACAGAGTCATGTTTACAAAGTTTGGGAATTTTACTGCTTTGGGGTATCATTATTTAAAAACAAACAAACCAACCCCAAACAAACAGAAAACCCCAAAATAGCAATGACAAAAAAACTCTAAGCCATACAAAACAACAAAAAAAACCCCTGTTGAAAATACATTTACACAAGACTTGCTAAAAAATACTAAAACTGGACCTCTAGCTACCATATAGCTACAAAAGTGCAGAAATTCAGACCACAAGGAGGTTAGGGGTTAATGACCATGATAATCTTGAACTATGTCATTACTAATGTGCTTGCAACTACAAATGAACTCACAAATATGAGGCAGAACAGTAAAGAATGTGAAGTCCATTTTCCTCAGTTAAATGTCTAGCTATAATAAATACCTTTCAAAATGACAATATAGTTCATCATCCATTCTAACGGAACTGGAAATAAAAACAAGACACTCACACATAAACTTCCAATTATTTACAACTGCAATGAAATGAGATACGCTATTTCTGGCAGGTGGGTAACGAACCAGTTTACACATTACTTCGGTACTATGTACTGATCTCCTGAAAGACTCAAATTTAGGAAAAAGGCGTAACTTGCCCTATCCCTTCCAGAGAAACACAGAGATTTTTCTTTGCTATATGATACAGCGACATTTCATGATTACTATCTACTAAGAGATTGATGTTTAGGAATGTTAACTGAAAATAAAATACTAGCACATCCCAGCATACAGCCCTCTGCACAGGATGTGTTATTAGTACAAATTTAACACTTTTGTTAGCATAATAGCTGCTTATAAAAATATGTCTTGAAGTATCAAGACCTTCACTATTATTTTTCTGAAAGTGAGGTATTTAAAAAAAAAAAAGGCTTTGAAAATTATGTGACATTAGCTACTGCACTCCGTTTCTAGTTATATTATTCAGAGTTCTTTTGGCCACCTTGGTGTCATACTGTTGCTATCCCCCGATTTTCCCCTTTTTAACTTAAAAAAAGTTAGCAGAACATAGAGTGGAAGAAGGAAAACAGCAAGGTCCTATAGCCAAGGCATTTACAAAAAACAACTTGGAAAAAGCACACACAGCATGCATGCTGTAATGTGTATGGTAACTACAGCAGGAAAGATCTCTGAGATGAACTCTGGCACCACGTATTGTCTAAGAAGAAATGCAGGCCTCCCTTGGCCCAGTGAGAGCCTGAAGAACAGTTTTGCCTCCCAGAGCTTCCAAAGACTTAAAAAGCGTGCTGCATCTCTCATGGCAAAAAAGCAGTCATGCACCCAGCTGGATCTTCCACCCCACACTAGGGACTGACCCCTTTTGCCCAGCACAGTTCCCCAGGCACTCAACTTCAAAATTCCATGCAACAATCTCTCATACAATGCAGACTGTAACTGTCATTACAGTTTGGAGACAAAATATCCAGGGTAATTATTTTCTCTTGTCTTGCCCCATATCAGGGAAACTCTGATTAACACTTGCCAGTGAGACATGACTCCTGTAATGCTGCATTATTAGCTACTGTGCAGACCATGGCATCTTATGAAAAGCACGTACTGCAATTTCTGGGGGACCCCTTGTGCTGGGATACTTGAGACTATGAGGGTTGAACCCTCACCCTTCATGCTTCTGCTGCCAAAGAGAAGACTTCATATGCACGCAAGCATCTCAGCAAGGAATGACCTTGAGACAATGTCCAGCTGGAGACCAGTAACGAGTGGTGTCCCTCAGGGATCGGTGTTGGGACCAGACTTCTTTAACATCTTCGTTGCTGACATGGACAGTGGGATTGAGTGTGCCCTCTGCAAGTTTGCAGATGACACCAAGCTGTGTGGTTCGGTTGATACGCTGGAGGGAAGGAATGCCATCCAGAGGGACCTGACACGCTTGTGAGGTGGGCTGATGCCAACCTCATGAAGATTAACCATGCCAAGTGCAAGGCCCTACACCTGGGTCAGAGCAATCCTAGGCACGGCAACAGACTGAGCACAGAAGAGATTCAGAGCAGCCCTGAGGAGAAGGACTTGGGGGTGCTGGTTGATGAGAAAATGAACATGAGCCAGCAGTGTGCGCTTGCAGCACAGAAAGCCAACCGTATCCTGGGCTGCATCAAAAGGAGAGTGACCAGCAGGTCGAAGGAGGTGATCCTGCCCTTTTATTCTGCTCTTGTGAGACCTCACTTGGTGTATTGTGTGCAGTTCTGGTGTCCTCAGCATAAAAAGGACATGGAACTGTTGGAAAAAGTCCAGAGGAGGGCCATGAGGATGATCAGGGGAATGGAGCACCTCCCACATGAGAAAGTTGGGGCTGTTCAGCCTGGAGAAGAGAAGGCTGCATGGAGACCTCATGACAGTCTTCCAGTATCTGAAGGGGGCCTATAGGGATGCTGGGGATGGACTCTTCAGTAGGGACTGTAGTGATAGGATGAGGGGTAACAGGTTCAAACTTAAACAGGGGAAGTTTAGGTTGGCTATAAGGAGGAAATTCTTTCCTGTTAGGGTGGTGAGGCACTGGAATGGGTTGCCCAGGGAAGCTGTGAATGCTCCATCCCTGGCAGTGTTTAAGGCCAGGTTGGACGAGGCCTTGGGTGATATGATTTAGTGTGAGGTGTCCCTGCCCATGGCAGGGGGGTTGGAACTTGATGATCTTAAGGTCCTTTCCAACCCTAACTATTCTATTTTATGATTCTATCTGTCTCGTAACCTGCTGTACAGGTACATCAGTGCCAATGTAGGAGTTACCCAGAATTATCTAGTAAAAGGGGAATGCTAGCAATGCCTCAGGTTTTACGTTACTGTTTAGTAAAAACAGCAGCAAATAATAAACACACTCTATATTCCATCTACTGTACACTACACTGTGTTTGAAAGCAGCAGAGCACTCTTTTTTCCTTGTTGAACACAGCATAGAACTGGGATTTTATTTTAGTGCGTGGTATCTGCACAGGTGTCATTTGTTCTATGAATGCAAGACAAAGGGAGAAGACAAATCGTGCTTGCTGCTTCTCCTGTTTCTATTATATTTTGAGGACATTTCTGCTATAATACGAACTGAGAACACAAATAGAAGAAAGAAATTTACATACTGGAATAAAAGAGAAAAGTAGTCAGCCACAGAACGGCCTGGGTAATTTCAATATCTCATACATCTGTCTGAATGTAGCAGTAATAGAAATAAAAAAATGTTATAGAACCAATTGTTACCAAAACAGTGAATATAGTTCTTACAGAAAGTAACCACTGAAAAGCTAGGGAAGGAAAAAAGACTCCAAAAATCACACTTGGCGTAAGAGCCAAAATATTTCAGTGAAGGCTTGAGTGGAGGATACCAAAGAAGTCATACATCATTGAAGGGGGACAGAGAGGGGCGGCAAATGCTTGTGGAATGCCGTGTCATTTATTAGCCCAGACACAAATAGCAATGCATACCAGAGAACGTGAATTCAGCAACAAACCACCTTTACTCCTTAGGAGGCCTGAAATATTCCATTATGTACTATGACATTGTAATACAGTGCAAGATTGCTATTGGAAGACCATGAAATTTGTAGAGGCTTCTCAAGGTGAATGGAGAATAAGAAATAAGGTCCACCAGGGATTTACGGCAAAGAAAACAAAATAACCCAAACCTACCCGAAAACCAGAATTCCCTTCTAAGGAGTCATCACAGCACCACATCAAAGAGGAAGGGACTTGGAAAGGATGGCCTGCTTTTAGCAGAGCTTGCAATAAATGCATTCCAAGTCTACACTGTAATTACACATCTGGAAGAAACATTCCTACATTAGTAGGAATGTATTATATGTTACATATACTATTACATATCATAATGATATTCTTATTATATTTGATTGTAAGAATTCTGCATTCCACTGCCTTATGCATGTCCATAGCAGGCTTGTCCAAGACTCTGTAAATACTAGATAAAAAGTCAATTAACAGCACATTCTTAAAGAAAACTGTTAGACACTGCATGATCTGTAAATAATAATAATAATTAAAAAGGTAAATAAAATAAAACTACTTTCTTTTATTAGATGGAGATAATAACAAGTTATAATCTGAATTCTAAGTATACTTCATAAAGCTGCTGGTGTAGAATGTCTGTCATATTTTCCTTGCTTATATTCTCTGACACTAATAAAAAAACAAACCACCACC